ATTATTTCTACAAAGGGGTTCCCTCTCTAAAAGTAAATGAAACAATGCAAAGAATTGCTTCTCATGTATTTATCTGCAATCTGATTGTTCCAATTACAGTTTATAACCATTTTGCTCTGGCACTAAAATATAAATATTCTGTTATTTTGAAATAATAGAAAATATTTGTAGCTCAGATTTTTAGATTTTAGCAATGGTTTGCTCTCCCATCTTGTTTCAATTTAGTTTTTGAATGTTTCACTACCAGATTAGATAACATCAGCAGCATCTTGTTCTATTCTCCTTAGCTTATAAATGTCTTGTGTGCCAGTGTGGTTAGTTGGTTGTGCTATTGGTTGTTCATTTGGAGCTATATTTAAATTCTGAACAGCTGATTGATTTTCTTGTTGATTGGTCATTGGAATGGTCTGGTTTCCTATGTATTCATATCATGAATCGAGATCAATACGTTTGTTAATTGCTCCTTTGGTAGAAAAGCAGGCTTCAATAAATGGGATCAGTTTTACAGGTGAGGAAGAAAAAGAGCAATGACTCCCCTTCCTAGATATTGATATAACAAGACAAGATAGCAGCAAATTAACAACCACACACACAGACAAAATTCTAAATTTCATTATCCCACTGAACATAAAAAGAGCTGCATCCAGACCCTTTTCAAAAAAGCCAAAACACACTGCAACACCAAGTCATTAAGAAAAACAGAAAACACTTTTTCAATGTTTTTCTCCGCAATGGCTATCCAAAAAATTTCATTATATGATTCTTGTCATCTAAACCTCAACAAAATACAAGGCCAAACACAACACAAAAACAATCCCGCCATACATCAAAAGAACATCCAAAATGGCTGCCAGAATTTTTCCCTATGGCAACCCCTAGGAATAACGATAGCTCATAAACCCATATTTACACTCAGAAAAGAGCTATCTAAAGTCAAAATGCAGAAGGAAGACAACAGCAATGTAGTATATAAAATCAACTGCAACAATTGTAACCAATTCTATGTGGGACAAACAGGAAGGCAATTGAAAACAAGGTTTCATGAACATCAACTAGCAGTTAAATGGTATGACCCAAAATCCCAAATAAACAACAAAAAGGAACAAAAATCTAGCACCTGCCACACATATAAATTTACTGAAGCCTGTTATTGTACCAAAGGAGTAATTCACAAGCATATTGACGATCTAGCATATGAATACATAAGAACCCAGACCATTCCAATGACCAATACACAAAAGAACCAATCATCTGTTCAACATTTAAATATAGCTCCAAATGAACAACCAATTGAGTGATCAACTGACCACAATGGTGTCACCATTCTGAGTCTGCCCAGCAAAGGAAGACACCATACTGAGGGCTTCAACAGAAATCTTTAGGCTTCTGGTGGCGTTTCTGTAAGCGACAGATTGGAGACTGCAATCGTTCATGGCTTCGATCCGTGTTTACCTTGTCAGAGGGTCCCAAACGGGACCAGATCCACCTCAGAGGGATAGGAAAGAAGGGGAGACCTCCAGCTGGGTCGAGGGGAGCTGCATCTTCCCTTCCTGGCTAGGTATACTTCCCATGAAGACAGGAGTAAGTGGCAGTCTTTAATGGCTGCCCTGAAGATGGGAACCTATTCGAGAAATAAGATCGTGCTGGAGCGGATAAGAAGCAGACAGCATGGAGACCAGGCAAACTAGCTGACATATGGACACTAATCCACTAATATGGACACATTTGGAATTAAGCTAAAAAGAAATTTTAAGAAAGATAGTAAAAGTAGTGACCAGAGAAGGGGGGGGGGGGGAATTGACAGCTGAAAGTAGCTTTGAACTTTGAAAGGAGCCAAATTCAAGATACTTGTTTAAATTGGACAAATATATGATTTTAGCACTAAATAGGCATAATTAAAGGCTGAACTTGAATGTGTCAAAAAGAAAAAGAACAGAAATTGATAATTGGATTTATTGGATTTTTGGAATTTAAAAGCCTTAAACAGAAAATAAAGTGGAAAAAAAAAGGATGGAATTTGGACATGACAATGCCATTTAATGGTAAAGGAAAAATTTCAGTGACTCTTTAAGAAATGCCTGGTTCTTTCAAAAGTGGATTTTGATACAAAAGTAGAGAAACTTTGTTACAACAAAACAGAAACCCTGGAAAGTGAAAAGTGAAAACAGAGAATATCAAAATAAAACAAAGAAGTGTGAAGAAATTACTCTGGGACTGTTTGGTGATTTTGGAAAAACTTAATGAGGAATTAATAGAAGTTCATTGTCGGAAGTAAACGCTGGTCAAATTAAATTACTGGACAATTGGTTTGGATTTAAAGACTAAAGAAAGGGATAAATAAAATTTAAAAGAAGTTTAAAAATGGCACAACTTTTTTGGGGAACTAAAAATGGAATTAAGAAACATAAAAGAAATGTTACATGAAAGAGGTGAATCGTGCTGCCTAGCTTTGCAATCATTAGAAAAGGCTATTCTGGAGTATGAAGAACAATAAGGAGTGCCAAAAGGGGAGGAGCTAATTAAAGAAGAAGCCAGCTTCAACGAACAACTGGAGCAAAGAACATTAAAGCAAAGGAGAAAAAGAATGGGAATTAAAACTTGAAGATTTGAGGAGACAATTAAGAAGGGAAGTATTTGGAAAGCCAAAGCAAATGGAAATAGCAGAAAAGGGGATTATAGAGGAAAATTTTAAACAGGGGGGGATAAAAACTGGAGTAAGAAAGGGAGGGAGAAAATGGAAGAAAAATGCAATAAAAGAAAGGACTAGGAAATAAGGAGATATGCAAATTGTTTAACAAAAGAAATTGTTTAGTCAAAAGACAGATAATAGGTAGATAAGGATTAAGAAAGGGGATTCTGCAAGGTAATGTGGTGTAATATAATGGCATTTGAAGTAATAAATTATCTAGGAGATAGAAAAATATATATTTTCAAAATGAAAAGATTGGAACTGATATTCCTTTGTTACTAGACTACTTGTTATTGTTAAATTACATACAGAGATAAATGGAATAAATGTGAAAAAGAGAAACTATGATGAGTATGCTAAATATGTTTAATAAATTTAAGAATATAGTTAAAATGAATTATGAAGACTTATAAAAAAGACTAACATCAGTTTTTTATGATTAATTGAATAGATTAATTTATTTGAAATTATAAATGATTTAATCAATTGAAGGGGAAAAATACCATGCAGAATCTGGCTTAAAATGTGTATGTGTTAAATAGTTATGAGGAGATTATTGTTATTAACTCTTAAGGTGATAATTAAAAAGTGATTATATTGTGATAAATTATTATGAGTTAAAGAGGAGTTAACTAAATGTTGTATAAGATAAAGGGGTAGTACACTCAAATTAGTAATTAAAAGGGAAAATTTTTGAATTATTAGAATTAAGATGGAAGTTTTGGAATAATGAAATAAGAATATGTAATGAAATTGCAAATGTGACAGATTAAAATATAAAGTATAATGAATGTGAAGATATGAGAACTATTTAAAATTTAAAAAATTAAGAAAGGAATAGAAAATATATAAAATAAATTTGAAGAATATAAGAATATCTGAGAACATTTATAAAATATGAAATATAATGATACGGTATGAAACCAAATGTGAAAGATGAATATGTAACTAAGGTCATGTTTATATGGAAATGTGAAAACCTGGAACCATGCTGTTCACTAAAAGAGATGTTTTTGAAATATAAAAAAACTTTTTACAAAAAAAACAGAAATCTTTACTGGCCTTGGCTTGGCACACAGTGAATACAAAAAAAAAATGTTTCTAGCCAGCATTACTGGCTTCTGCCAGACACCTAGCTATGGGGGCACGACAGGCCCCACCCACACCTGCTGCTGGCCTGCTCCAACAAGCACTCTTTGCTGGCTCTCTGCAGGCTCCAGCAAGCCTGGATTCATGGCCTTTGATCCGTCTGCAGCAGTTTCTCTCTTGCTGCCTGCTCTGCCAGCCTGCTCCAGCAAATACTCCTCACCGGCTCTCTGTAGACTTCAGCAATCCTGGATTCATGGCATCTCATGTCTCTCTCTTCCTAACCCTCCACCAGCATGAGTTCATTACAGCACTCAGTACCCAATTCCCAACAGTTCGCACCTCTCCCCTCCACAGTTTGTGGCAACTCCGACTCTCAGACAACTGACCCACCGACATTTATAAGCTAAGGAGAATAGGATAAGAAAATCTTGCTGATTATGTTACCTAGTCTGGTAACAAAACATTCAGAAACTAAATTGAAATAAGCTTGGAGACCAAACCCTGTCAAATTCTGTCATTTTTTCCCAAGATTCTTAGGAACCCTCCCCAAGGTTTTTAAGGATCAGAATCTATTAAAACTCTTCTTGTTGTTCACCTGTTGTATGCGGTTGGCACTACCTATTGATAATTAGGGCTCTCCTGACCCCCAAATATTGAGACCATTTTTAAAAGCTTTTTTGCCTTCAAGATGTGATTCCTGAAATACCTCTCACTTCCAGCCAAAAAAGTGGTTCATCAACATATCTAAAGCTATATCTGTTATTTTAATTGCTATTTCTATTTCTAATACATCATTTATAATTCTATACTTTAAATACATTAGGTGACAGTACACAACCTTCACATACTTTCCCAATTCTGAATCAGTTGTTTCATATTCGATTCAACTTGTTGCCCCTTGACCATCGCACAAATATTTAATAGGAAAAAGAGATGGTTTTAAAAGCTATTCACAATTTGCTGAGATTTAATAAAACCTTTGCCTAAATGAAAAATGGTAATGTTTTTAAAGTCACTTCACTTTGACTCAAGGTTATTTCAAATAAATGTAAGATAACAAGCACCTAATATAATGACAATAATATTTTTTCTTTGGAGAATGAGAAGCTTTTAATTCTTTCCTTTTACTTACATGGTATGTATTATTTTTTGAGCAATAGAATACTAGTTTAGCAAATAATTATTTGTCTGCTAAATAGATTTTAATTATTAAGAAGAATGCAATGAAAAACTATATTCCTAATTCTGCACCTTGTTAACATTACCTGGCTTAATGATAGCATTAGGTGATACTCGAAATATTGACGTTTTCTGTTTTGGCGGGAGCCCTAGTTCTCTGTTCATTTCCATGACAGAAGAACTTCTCTGGAAAAAACAGAAGTACAGTAAGCATAGAAAAAAGTGGAATTTATATAATATGCAACCCCTTCAAACAGTAAAACTAGAATTTAACTTTTTATTGCTCTCACAAATGTCAGACAAATGTCAGAGTCACAAAACGACAGAGCGCATCATTGCTTGTAATTGTATAATAGTCTCTATTAAAAAGTGCCAATGTTCTAAATGAAAGTTAATACTCAATTAAAAAGCAAAGTACAATAATCTTAATTCCCTTATTAAAATTTTAAATGTAAAATGTTTGAGATACTATATTAGTTATTCTATCTGTTCTAGCAAAAACTGTATGCCATGAGAACCCATCTACATCTACAATAGTGTTCATTAGTGTGTCTTTTTATGAAAATGAACAAATTATAAACTTATGACAGAATAGGATTTACATATAATAAATATTTAATAAGTAAGTATTTAATAAGCATTCCAGGGGTATGATATGAATTAAAAGCATACCGATACATGTAGGTCTCATGTTCTCGCTTCATACATTTGTGGGAGCAGAAATGAAAAGTATGCTCCCAAATAGTCATTTTCAAAATAAAGCTGGCTTACCCAATATTAAAAACAATAGCATCATCACCCTGAGATCATATAGCTCAAAAGATAACAAGCAAGTAACAGCACAATCGTGTGTATTAAATAGACCACATACATGAAGCAAGCATATTATTCCTTTCAGTTCTATTTTATTGGAATCAATATTATCTTTATAAAAAAATCAATTATAAATATGTAGACCAAGGGCAAACTTATATCTTATTAGAGGCATATAAAATAAATAAAATGTCATTTTTGTGCAATAAGTAAAGGTGCCCCTTTTTACGCACTATTCTACTTCTAGATAAATTCTTACCTGGAACCTGCATGGATGCATCTTTTTTACAAAGAGGCATATAGCATGTATTCTTTTTTCTCTATATCACACTTTTAAATCACATAAGTATTAAGAGTCTTTCAGCAGCTTTCTTGAAAAAAACCACCTTAATAACATAGATAAATCTTAATTACAACACGAAAGGAGTGAGCATTATTTCAAAAAGGGCTGCACATTCCAGAGGGCAGGTGCTACAATAAAAAACCCAACTTCCTGGATCCCATAAAATATACAGAAACACATTAAAAATTGTATTGTCATATATCTCATCAAAGCCAGCTGCCTTGTTGTTAGGGCTTCTAATTGTCATCTTTACTTCTTCAGTTGTAATTTCACCATTATTCATCTCTTGTTGGGAACACTTCTCATTAAAATTGTATATAGCAGGTAGATTTTGCTGATTAGAGTTTCCAGGTAGTGTTCAACCCATCTTTTTATTCAGCTCATCTTCAATAATCAGAAGCACATTAACTCTGCCATTGCCAATCTCAAGTGCAAATGAGAAAGAAGGAGAGTTAGGCATCAGGCTATCCATCAGGCTACCCATCCCTGTAAAAATTTTAACCACTACAGAAACAGCTAAAAGAATGTCAATAAAATTTTGATCAGGGGAGAGATCTGTGTGTAGAGACAGAAAGAGAGAGAAATAGGGAACACAATTTTTATTATAGTGCCTGTCCTCTGGAACAAAATATTTCTATAATTTTTTTTCAGACCCCACCTAATTTTCTTTTTTTTTAGATGAATCATTAAAACCTGACTCTTTTTACAGACCTTGTACTACACTGGATTATGGCCACCTTGTGGGTTATCTCATTTGTAAAATTATGGCAGTTTTATCTGCATATTATCTTGGTATAAAGATTATTTTATTATAATTTTTATACAATATGCTAACCAAAATTGAAATGGAGTTGTATCTGTAAATGTTTGAAGATTTGACACTCCTACGAGATTAGGCAATTTTTTGAGAAAAATGTTCTAGCCTCTATGTTAAAGAATGGTTTATTTCTCTGTGAAATCTGTGTATATGACATAGTAGTACACTATAGCTGCAACATACCTTGCATTAATATGCAGTTTATGCAATAGTGAGATATATACACTTCAATTATAATCGAAAATTATCAAAATTGCTACCCAACAAAAATTTCACTAACTCCTAAAATCCAGGTGCTGTATAAGTGATAATATATTTTTTACAAAATAAAGTAGATCTAAGTTCAGCATAATATTGTAATGGCAGTATTAGGTAAAAGACTCTATAAAGTCAGGAATTTTAGTCTAAATTAACAAGAAGAAAATCAACCTTAATGACTTCTGCTTAAGTTAATAGCCAATATTTATTTATTTATTTTATTTATTTGTCAATTGTTTACGAGATAGTAAGTAAAAGTGTATACATAATTATGAATACATGAAATGAGTACATATAAGAAAAATAAAAGAAAAATAAAAGAAACAATAGGACAGGGACGGTAGGCACGTTGGTGCGCTTATGCACGCCCCCTACAGACCTCTTAGGAAAGGTGTGAGGTCAATAGTAGACAGTCTAAGGTTAAAGTTTTTGGGGTTTGGGGAAGAAACTACAGAGTCGGGTAGAGTATTCCAGACATTGACCACTCTGTTGCTGAAGTCGTATTTCCTGCAATCAAGCTTGGTGCGGTTAACCTTGAGTTTGTATCTGTTGTGTGCTCTTGTGTTGTTATGGTTGAAGCTGAAGTATTCATTGACAGGTAGGACATTGCAATGTATGATTTTATATACCATGCTTAAATCAGACCGAAGACGGCGTAATTCAAGGTTTTCTAGTTCTAGAATTTCCAGTCTGGTGGCATAAGGTATTCTACAACGAGTAGAAGAGTGGAGAACTCTTCTTGTGAAATATTTCTGGACTTTCTCAATTGTGCTAATATCAGATACGTAATGTGGGTTCCAGACTGATGAGCTGTATTCGAGTATTGGT